ATATCGCAGCATATTCTGACACCTTGTCCGGAGTCAAGTATGGTATTCGAACGGCGCCACCACTTACTTGAGCTTGCAGCGGCGCTGGGCTTGAGGAGGTGGGCGAACCCAGCGCCGGCGATGTCCACAAGCCATCGAATCGAGGTATCGGGCCTTGTTGAAGGGCTAACTCGGCTGTCGGTTCCCGTCCAGCTTGAGCATGGCCGATCAAACGAAGAAAAATGCTGAAGCCTGTCGGCGTCAGGAAACCACGGTCTTCACTGTCCGCGATCTGCCATATCTGATGGAGAGGAATCGTTAGTCGGATGTGGCGGAAGACTAGGGAAGCCGGTGACTAACTGTTTGGCACTGATCATTCCGAAGTCTTGTCTTCTCGGCCAACGCCACGACGGCATCGCCAGTGACAAAACCAGCGCCTTCTGCATCAGCTTGACGAAATAGCTGTGCATAGACTCGCTTCTCTTCGGGGGAGAGGTTGAGATTCGGCGGCGCTGCAGGCACTTTTAAGGTTAACTTGGACCGTTTTGAATCAGACTTGGAAATAGTCAGGGACGTGGGATCGGCATACCAGAATCGGCGCCAAGGTCAGCAGACATTATGATGCATAGATGATTCAAGGAGCTTGACGTAAATGATGGGGGTTGGGAGGGGAGGAGTTATTGGGTTGCCGTCGTCACCGGGGCTGGGCAGAATGGATTCGTCTGGTACTCCGTGCCGTCTCGGTGCTCCTGACCGTCGAGTTGAAAGGCAAAGACTTGCAATCTATGTGCGCCAAACAACGTTGGACGACCGTTGGGTCGAAGCGCTATGATGGAGAAGAGGCAAGCCAGGAGCCGGGAAACTTAAATCAGGTTGGAATTGGGAGACTGCGATCAGCCGGGGGGAGGGCTGGAGTCTGGTGGAGAGCTGTGATTCGGTGGCTGTCACCGAGACGAGCGGTTGGGGAACTCATGGTGTTGGTTGACCAGAGTGTGGCTGGTGAAAGCGCACTCCAGGAACGTGGCTGTGGCTGCAGGTGTAACGGAAAGGACGAGGCGCAAGACTTGACTGCATTGTAATTTGTGAACATGTCGAGTGATGAGAGAATGCACGACCATGCTGACATGTCGCACAGAGCAGCAGAGATATCAGAGCACATGATCCGAATGTTCGTTAGCAGCACCCCTCATCGCCTGGGTTTGACAATCTGAAGTCTCGATGCCGAGTCAGAATTGGAAATTCCTTCGTTGTCGGAGTTTGTGGGGCCCTAATCTTGCAAGGCGTGCTCTCCAGCTCAATGATTGGCCGGGGTTTCCCGTCGTTCGTCATGTCGCAATCCCAATGATTTGACATGGTCGCAGCCCGAATCCAAAGGTGAATTTCAAATCATTCCCGAACCGTCGTGCGGACTTATGCCATCTAGCCTCAATAGAGTGGTCTCTTTGCGCTCCTTAAGTCGCAGCTCAGTCGTCATATACGCACAGTTCAGTCGCTCCCGTCACACTGCATCGCTCTCAGACACAGATTACTCAGCTAACCTTTACGGATCTTCTGTCCCTCGGCGCTAGACCGGGTTCTCCGGCCAAGGTCGCATATACATATTTGTCTTTCGTTCTGGATAACTCGAATACTTTTGATCAGGGAAAAAAGACGTCATTGCCGTCCAATCCCCACCATTCCCATTAGTTCGTCAATCCTTCACATAAAAGGAGAGCTCGCTCATCCTGACGTGGGGAAGCTTTTACACACATACAACACAGCCCTAGTCGTCCATGCAATCCCTCGCCCTCTTGTCCCGCACTTCAAGAGCTGCCCCGCATCGCATAGCTTCTTTGTCCCGCCATCTATCTACATCGTCTGCGACGATGGCTCCCATAACGAAGGAAACGGATTATCTTGTTCTTGGTGGTGGTAGTGGTGGTCTTGGATCGGCCCGCATGGCCAGTTCCAAGTTCGGCGCAAAGGCAATGGTTGTCGAAGCCGCCCGACTCGGTGGGACGTGCGTGAACGTTGGGTAAGTTGAAATCCAGGTCTGTTTCTAAGTAGGGGACCTTTTATGAGAGGATTGCTTGCTGACTAGTGCTGTTGTGATGTGTAGATGTGTCCCCAAAAAGGTTACGTACAATGCCGCTGCCATCGCCGAGACTCTTCACGACGCCAAGGCTTATGGCTTTTCCGTCAAAGAAACCGCTTCTTTCGACTGGACCACCTTCAAGAATAAGCGTGACGCTTATGTTAAGCGTCTCAACGGCATATACGAGCGCAACCTGGGGAACGACAAGGTCGAGTACCTGCACGGGTGGGGTCGGCTGCTGTCCAAGAACCAAGTCGAGGTTACGCTAGATGACGGTAGCAAAGTTCTCGTCAATGCCAAGAAGATTCTTATCGCCGTCGGTGGCCGCCCGAGCTCCCCTCCACAGATTCCCGGTGCGGAGCTGGGCATCAATAGCGATGGATTCTTTGACATTGACAAGCAGCCCAAGAAGGTTGCCATCGTTGGTGCTGGTTACATCGCCGTTGAGTTTGCAGGCATGTTCAACGCCCTCGGCACGGAAACCCACCTCTTCATCCGCGGCAAAACTTTCTTGCGCCATTTCGACCCAATGATTCAGGAGACGGTTACCAAGGAGTACGAGAGACTTGGAGTTAACCTGCACAAGGAGTCACAAGCCACCAAAATTGAAAAAGACGCCAATGGCAAGCTTATCGTCACCTACAAGGATGCCGAGGGAAAGCAGAGCTCCGTTTCCGATGTTGACCACCTTATCTGGGCGGTCGGGCGAACCCCCATGACCAAGGATATTGGCTTGGAAGAAGCCGGCGTCAAACTGACCGAGAGAGGCCATGTTCAGGTCGATGAGTACCAAAATAGCAGTGTCGAGAATATCTACGCCCTCGGTGATGTCAGTGGAGAGGTAGAGCTTACCCCCGTCGCCATCGCCGCTGGCCGTAGACTGGCTCAGCGCCTGTTTGGACCTGCGGAATTTGCCACCCGAAAGCTCGACTACAGCAATATTCCGTCCGTCGTATTCGCACACCCCGAAGTCGGTAGCATTGGCCTCTCGGAACCTGAGGCTATCGAGAAATACGGCAAGGACAATATCAAGGTCTACAAGACGAGTTTTACAGCCATGTACTACGCCATGATGGAGCCCGAGCACAAGGGTCCAACCAACTACAAATTAATTGTTACTGGTCCTGAAGAGCGGGTAGTTGGCCTGCATATTATGGGTCAGGGCAGCGCTGAGATGCTCCAGGGATTCGGTGTTGCTGTCAAGATGGGTGCTACCAAGGCGGACTTTGACAGCTGTGTAGCCATCCACCCGACGAGTGCTGAGGAATTGGTGACTTTGAAATAAACGGCATGTGAAGCAGAATAGATTTGGAAGAGTAAAAGAGCGATACAATTTCAATGTAAATTTTGTTCACCCTTCATGACCGCCCTTTGCTCGCGCAAATTGTCGAGGTCCCTCATCTTTGCCAGTCTCCTAACGGAATAAATCCAGGCCGTTGGCCAGCCTGTGGTATTTTGTAACCTATAATTCTGAGACATCTGGGAACCTGATACCCAGCTGCGAATAGCATTGTCTTAACGGTTGAGGAGAGGTGGTTTGGGGGGGGGGTGGCCTCGAAGGCCCTACAGTCTGTGGAAGAATATATTTACCAATCTAGGACTACCACACTAGATACTACAGCATATTATAGCATAGAGTGCGATAGCTGCCTACTACTTGGTAGGTACTATCTAATTTGATGAAATACCCTAGGCATCAGGAACTTTTTGCCCGCATTGCTCAGTGGGTCCCGTGTTCATGCAACTCAACTTCTGCACGCCAGAGTTGAAACGAGGCTCCGGCAAGATGCAGTGCCTAAGCTACTGATCTCCTTGTGATGTGAAGATGGTCGTGACTGTGTCGCGACGTCGTCATTGAGGGCTTGAGCTGGGAGAACCGGGGACATCTGGAGTCTAATGCCGGTCTTGTTGGCACGAACACGCCGGCCATGGAACATGGAAAGCGCGAGCGCGAACTCTCAACCCTGACTCTGTTGCCTCCGGGGCATGCCATAAACAGCACCTGAGTTCCCTACTTAAGTACCTACCTAGGTAGCCTTAGGTCGGTAGGTATCTTGAACGGCCCGATTGCTGCTGCCACCAGTGACTCGACACAAGACGCTGACAACATACGTCGTACATTGACGTTTGAGGGTGTCCCTCGACCTGCGGATCAATCAACTCGTTCACAGTTTAGCCAACCCTAAGAATGAGCGTGATTTCCACAGTCAACAGTGCAAGATAAAAGATGATGAGTGGGCGACAAAGCGTGGCGCCTGCATGACGACGAGTTTGTTGGGCAAGGCATGCTCTTTCAACTGCACGTAAGCGCCCGGCGTCAAGGAGGGTGCCTCTGCAGATGGCTGATCGTTGACAGAATCCCGACCGGCTTTGTTTCTGCCTAATATGACTAACCACTGTTGAGCAATACATGAGCAATACGCAGTAATGTCGTCGTGACTCCTGTCATTGAGCTTCGCACAGATGCTATAGTCCGACAGACACCTATTGGAGGGACCAGTTGCGCTGTCGAATTGCCCTTCGTGCGGCGTCTACAGCAATCTGCAACTCCAATCTTTGTCTTGGTGGCGGGGACAACACACCGAGCGGTTCCTAATTCTTGACTGGAGTCCGTCCTGGAGGCCTCACTTATTGACCTGCTCCCATGCCAATTATCAACGCTATGAGACGATGCCGAAGCCAACCTTTGGACCCGAGAGTGATCGTGAAGCCGTGTTTGACTCAGCAAAGAGGAGGAATACAGATTGTGCAGATGCGCAGACATCAACCCTGGTGGGCATGGCTTGGGAGGCCATGGGTAACGATGAATACAAAGTTGGTTGGATCTGCGCCCTAAGCACAGAGAATGTGGCCGCACAGGCTTTTCTCGATGAAACGCACAAGGGACCAAGATTTGTGTCCCCATATGACCACAATCATTACACCTTGGATCGTATGGGGAATCACCATGTCGTCATTGCAGTCTTACCTAGCGGCTATTGTGGCCAAAGATATGCTGCATAGCTTTCCCAATATCAAGGTTGGCCTCATGGTCGGCATCGGCGGCGGTGCGTCAAGTCAGAAGCACGATATACGCCTTGGCGGCGTCGTGGTTAGTGACCCCAGAGATGGGATAGGTGGTGTGTTCCAGTACGACTTTGGCAAGATACTTCAGGATTAGCAAGAGCTGGAATTATGCATAACGGGTTTTCTAAACCAGCCGCCAATCGGCCTACGAACTGCTGTGAGTGGAATAAAGGCAAATCATGAGCTGCATGGACATCGGCTTAAAGAGGCCAGTAACAACACTCTCGAGAAGATACCAAGATTACAGCAGGAATACAAACGACCAGGTCCATGCAGCGACAGGCTACATCAATGCGAGTTCACCCATCCTCTAAACGGTCGCTCAAGTTGTGCCGCAGTTTGTGGTAACGATCCCTCAAAATTAATATCGCGCCCGGTACGGACCAAAGACGGGGACACGCCAGCCATTCACTACGGACTAATTGCTTCAGCAAACCAGTTAATGAAGAACGCTCAAGTTCGGGATAGACTGTTATTTGGAAAGAATGTTTTATGTTTTGAAATGGAAGCAGCAGGGTTAATGAGCAGCTTCCCTTGTTTAATTATTCGCGGTATCTGTGACTGCTCGAGATTCGCATAAGAGTAAGGAGTGGCAAGGGTATGCAGCGATGGCAGCGGCTGCATATGCGAAGGATCTTCTCAGTCAAATTCCTCGAAATAGCGTCAAGGGTCTCCGCAGGACATCAAGCGGCATCTCAGCGCAGCCCAGAAGAGGAGAGAACCAATCGCTCAATGACGAGCAAAGACGTATGCTACTGGAGTCGCTGTGGTTTGACCAAATCGATGCCCGCCAGATGACCATCAAGACCGCTCACGCCAAGACCTGTGAGGGCTGCTATAGACGTTTGCATATCTTGACTGGCTTGACCCCAGTAAGTTCAACGAACATTTCGGCTTTTTGTGGATCAAAGGGAAGTCTGGCGCCGGGAAGTCAACACTAATGAAGTTTGCTCTTGCAAATGCTTGGAAGAAGATCAAGGATAAGATTATTATCTTTTTTTTCTTTAACGCGCGAGGAAGTGATCTGGAGAAGTCCACAGTTGGATTATACCGGTCTATACTGCTGCAACTTCTGGACCGACTGCCTGAACTTCAGGGAGTCTTTAATTCTCTCCGATTAGCGACTCGGGACAGTGGATATGACCAATGGAGGGTTGAATCGCTGAAAGCACTTTTCGAAAAAGCTATGTAGGGCCTTGGAGAGACCAGCCTTCTGTGCTTCATTGAGGCCTTGGATGAATGTGATGAGAATCAAATCCGAGATATGATATCGTTCTTTGAATCGCTGAGCAAAATAACCACGCCAACCGGTATTAGCTTTCGGGTCTGCTTTTCAAAGCAGGCATTACCCGCACATTTCTATCAGGAAAAGGACTTAACCTAATTCTCGAAGGACACGAAGGGCATCGCCAGGAAATAGTCAACTATGTCGACAGCGACTTGAGGATTGGACATTGTCGTCATTGCCGCGTAGATCCGTGCTGACCTGTAAGAAAAGGCATCTGGAGTTTTTATGTGGGTTGTCTTAGTGGTGTGAATCTTAAACAAAGCCCATGATAAGGGCCGCATTCATGAATTACAAAAAATACTCCAAGATATTCCCGGGGACCTGCACGAGCTATTCCGCGATATTTTAACGCGGGACTGCCACAAAAGGGACGAACTGCTTTTATGTATTCAGTGGATGCTCTTTGCGAGACAGCCGTTAAAGCCGGGACAGTTATACTTTGCCATCCTGTCTGGCATTGAACCGGAGGCTGTGTCTGACTGGAGTCCTGACGAAATTACAGTGTCTATTATGAAAAATTTTATCCTCGATTCCTCTAAAGGGCTTATTGAAGCCACGAAATCCAAAAACCCAATAATTCAGTTTATTCATGAGTCGGTTAAGGACTTTCTAAAAGGAAACGGGCTTAGGGAGATTTGGTCTGACTTTGGAGAAAACTTTCAAGGGGAAAGTTATGAACGACTAAAGCAGTGTTGCCTCATGTATATGAGAATCGATATAGCTGCCCATCTAAATATCAGCAACTCGCTTCGCAAAGCATCATCCCAGGAAGCTGCAGAGCTCCGTCAACCGGCAGATACATCATTTCCATTGCTCGAGTACGCTGTACGGAACGAATTTTACCACACGGATGCGGCAGAAGGCGATGCAATCAACCAGACAAGTTTTCTTCAGACCTTCCCGCGTCTTGACTGGATTAAGCTCGACAACCTATTTGAACGACACGAAATACGCCGACATATAAATGCAAGTCTTTTATATATATTAGCGGAGCATAACATGGCGAATCTCATTAGACGTCACCCTAGAACAGCTGATGCGAGGCAGCGTTACGTTCTTCACTCTAGGTCAGACTCTGTGGGCTAGACTTTTACTACCTTTGTCGGAGGCGATTTGAAGGGGTCTAGGCACATCTATGTACGAAGAATGTTTCTTTCACATGTGTGGGGAGTAGCACTTTCATCCGATTTGAAGTTTCATGCGACAACGCTCTGGACTGAACTTTGTGGCGCGTGGTGTGCGAGAGTCCAAATGAATGTAGGATTCGCAGATGCTAGACGGATTTCCCAATCCATCTTTATATTTTCGTGGCAAGATATCTACGGGGAGTTTTGTTTTAGTCGCCGCTTCATTCTCAGTTAACAGGAATAACAGGTTGAAGAACATGTTAAGATGATGAACTGTTTGGGACCGAACTGGCAAGGTCATCACTTGCTGGAGCATGATTGAGCATTGTTCATTTTCACCTCCAGTGTCGGTGAAGTTGCGCTGAGATGCCCCTGCTCCACGGATCAATACAGAGCTTGTAATAAGACGCCCACACATACCACACTGCGCAGGTAAATTCAGCAAGTATTGGCGTCTAGAATGGCCAGGAGAGAATTATACTTTGGTAGGCTGCTCATACCATGAATTATAGAAGTCTCAGGGTTCAAGTAACTAGAAAAGAATGACACAATTATGCCCGATGCCCTGCGCTGAGTAGGCGTAGGAGTTGTAGCTGCATCTACACAGTTATTCAGAGCAGTCAAAACAGTGCTCAATTCATGAAATTTATGTCTAAAGACTTGAGGAGACCGACACACCGTACGAGAAGAGGAGAGTTCGAGAGCGGTCAGAGTTTTACAGCGAGCGTTTTTCTTGTTGAACTGGACGAGAAGGCTATCTGCTAGCAAAGCTGTGATCAAATGAATCCTCCCGGTATACCCGATGTTGTGTATGCGCAAAAGGTGCCGCACATAACATTTGTCATTCTGGCTGAAGTCAATTTCACCAAGAACAATTATCCCCTTGTCAACAAGAGTAGTGTGAGGAACAAAATTCGTCTGCTTGCCGAAGGCGACAACACCACCAACTATTTAATAGTCGACATTTGCTCAGGGTGTAACAATGTTAAATGCATGGTTAGGCACCTGGATGAAGACTATGGCCTTTTCCCACGCTCCGACTTCTCCCAAGGTCACGACCTGGTAGGCATTAATCTCAGTCTTCTTGCCCGCGGCGGCGGTCCCGACAGCCGTGACCAGGGTGTCGTGCGTAAGCCAAACTGTTAGATCAGACTTGCTCTCCTTGAGGTCCTCGAACGCGACAAATGGAATTTCGTGTCCAGTCATGGCGCCGTTGCTCAATCTTATGTGCCACCCAATCTGACCTTTTCCTGGAAGCGACTTTCGCGGCATATCTTCCACCATGAAATCAATAGTGATCTTGCCTTCAGAAGCAAATGCCTCTGGGCCGTTGATACGGATAGCCATTGTGTCAAACAGTTCATCTAGATTGAGTGCCATCAGGGACGCCGGCGTCATGGTGTTGACGGCCGGCTGAGGTCCATTTTTCAGCTCGTACGCCCCGGTAAGATATATGTTGCGCCAGGTCCCGTTCTCTGCGCCCTGTCCGAGCTTTTGGTAAACAGAAATCAGTTCTTTCTTTGCGTCCGAGTCGTCGGGGTACGCAAAGATGAGTTTATCCAAGACAGTGGCCGCAAATCGTAGTTTTGATTCCATATTCTCGGAGATGTATGCCTTGGCCTTTTCAAGGACAACTTTTGGCCCACCCATGCATTTAATGTATTCAACCGCTTCATCAGTTGGCTGGAGTTTCCACAGATTCGCCGGGTTGCCATCAAACCAACCCATATATTTATCGTAAATGGCCTTGACATTGTGACTGACTGAGCCGTAGTAGCCGCGCAGGTTGGTCCGAAGGCTCAGATTAGGCGGAGTCCTGATCTGTTCTGCAATTTCAACGGGAGTGCTGCCATTGTTCAGCAGGCGCAGTGTTTCATTGTGAAGGTAGGCGTAATAGTCCCGTTGTTCCGATAGAAAAGTAATAATCAAGTTATTCGGCTTTTCTATTTTGTCGTCTTGAATGCCACTGCCCGCGCTATCGTGCTTCCATGTAGGCCAGTGGTGACTGGAGAAGACCACATCGGTCTTGTCTCCAAACAGGGAGATGGACTCGTCGAGGTAGCGAGACCAGAGTCGGGCGTCGCGAACCGGGGCACCTCGCAGCGTCTGGATGTTGTGCAAAGTGTGTGTTGCGTTCTCCGCCATGCATAGAGCCTTGTAAGCCGGGAAGTAAAAGTTCACCTCGGCAGGCGCCTCTGTCCCCGGCGTTAGTTGGCAGGTAATTTCAAGCCCTTCAATGCCGGGCTTCAAGACACCGTCCTGGGTGATGCTCTGGTTAGGTGCCACCAACGAGCTATGTCCTGTCGACAGCCCCTGACCGAGGCCGCAGCCGATCTGGCCATCGGGAGATTTTGGCAAGGCCTCCCCGTACATGTAGATGGACCGTCGGGACATGGCCGCCCCGGCGTATACATTCTCACTAACGGCATGTTCGAGGAAGCCGTCGGGACCAATGATTCGGAGATCCCTGCCAGCCACATCTACAATAGCTTGGGCGCCTCCGAAATGGTCCACGTGGTTGTGGGTGTAAACGAGGGCATGGATCTCTGCTTCGCGTTGGAATCGCCCCTTGTGATAATCCTGATAGAGCCGAATGGCTGCACTTGCGGTTTCAATAGATGTCAAGCAGTCGATTATGATGATCCTGTTTGTGTTTGGAATCTGAACAATGTTCATATTGGCAAGATCAAGCCCACGTACTTGATAAATGCCGTCAACGACATGATAAAGACCTGCCGTCACGCTGCAGAGTTGGCCCTGGCGCCATAAAGACTTTTTGGCGGTCTCGGGACACTCTTCTTGCATAAAATCGTAGGCACTAGCATCCCAGACAATGTTATCATTCGAGTCATAGATGAGTGGATTGTCCAAGGCTGCCACAAGGCCACGCTGAGCAAACTCGAAGTCGTGGTTATCAGTATCGACGGTATCGACCGGGAGAGGCATGGCTGCGAATAGAGCTGAGTCTTGGCAGAAGAGGGTAGAATAGAAAATAATAATGCAACTAGATGATTCAGACATCGACTCTGAATCTGAAAGGCAGGGTATAGCGAATTTATATTTTCCACGACATACTGTTGCTCAGCGGTCAAACGAGACATTTGCCCCAAACCGACTCCTTCTCGGACTCCATCTAGCGCATCCTCCAAATCAATCGAGCTGCATATTAAGTTGCTTCAGCTACAGAGGTGGCTCGGAGGATAAGAGCTGGAGTCAACAAAGAGCGGCACTGCCGTGAGTGCATACATCAAAATTGATGTTATGACATGGCACAGCGCCACAGACGTGAGGGACAAGCTAAAAGTATGGAGTCACCCGCGATTGTACTGAAACCAAAGTCGCATTACATCCTCCGCGGGCGGTGGAAAAGAGTTCTTCATCCAATTCATGCAAAGTTGAGCCGAACCGCAAGCCGTGTGTAGTGCTTGGTGGCCGAGGTGGGTAGCATGAGCCAATGCCTGCCATGCTTCTAGTATCACATTTATTGACTTCAAATGCGTAAATTTCCGGTCTTGCCGCGATGTGGCAGATGCTGACAGCTCAATATATGTCGGCGTTCACCCGTCCATGCCACCCGGCCGATATGCAACCCACCGTCGTACTTGTTTCCCCTCGATTACCAGATCTGGGCTCTTGCAGCTCTCTTTGCCAGCTAGGACGGGAATTCCGCACAGATGTTGCCCAAGTGGGATCTTCTGAGGTAAGTCACTAAGATATAAGTAAGATATAGATGGCCAAAACCTCCAGGTAAATAACCGTTATAAACCTCGAGTTTATGACGGGTTACTTATCGCGTGACTATTACCTTCATAGATTATATGCCGGGGAACAATCCTTTCTTTTGTAATGCTTTTTTTTGCATATATTCGACCGGTAATCTTCTCTGTCACCCGAGAAATGCATGCCAGATTATAGCCCCTGCAGTTGTTCATGCGTTTGAAATCTGCCAGCCCCTACGTACTAGGTGTCACGGTCCATATTTTTAAGGCTGACGTGACTTTTGCCGATGCCATCTTGCACTTGTACTACCAATTGTGCGTCAGGCTTTCCTACTCCATCAAAGGGATCGAGTCGTGCTACTACGGGTGTATCCAGGCTCCTCCCATACGGGCCATACCTGTCGGGTCGCAGAGCAAAGGGTATATACCAAGCTAAGTCAACACAGCGGGAAGTATCAATGTCGAATGCGTGATTGAAATAATCGTCTGATTCCCACAGGGTTCTATCCGTGGTCCCTGCATAGCAATCGACAGACACTTGCCACTTTCCATACTCTAGCAACCGCGTATGGCAAGTTACACCGCCCGCAACGAAACAGCCGTTTGAGATGACGCGTGTGTTCACGGTAGCTGTAGAGCCCTTCGCGATGGCCTGATGCGAACAGGCTATCGGCCTCATGAATAATCACGGTCAAGCTAGTAGGCGAGGTCAGCGTCGAGGTTGAGGGAGTTCGTAGCAGGATTGATGTGCGCCCTCGGGTTCTGCTGGCAGGTATCGTCGCAGACAAAGCAAAGCAGTCATTGTACTCACTCACTCTCATCTCCGCTCCTGGTATATCGTGAAGTCCCTGATGGCGTTGGGTGCAATAGAGTATCGGACTGGACTGTCTGCCTCGAGAGCCTGTGCGGGGGGGTTGGCATGCCAATGCCTTGTTGCCTTGAGATGAGGAAGACCAATTGATGCCCCGCACCCAGTTTCTCGCTTGCCGCTCCCTCAAAGCAACTACCTACTGCTCCCTTATACCACCAACATTGAACTCTTTCTTCTAATCCTCTTCGCAAATCCGGGAAGACGCGCATATGAACTGTCGCTTACATCGCATTTCCGTCTCGCTCGAGCTTAAAGAGCGAGGTACAGCCCTGCGTCCCCCGGCTCGTGTGGATCAAAGTCATCTCAATTATCGCAAAAAGAACGCGCTCTGATTAAACAGCAATTATACACCCTTATATTTCCATTGACATCGATGATCAAGACAGGCCTTGCAATTTAACTCATCGGCATCACAGCTTCAAGCAGGCCAACTATGAACGAATCAGATTTTAATAACGCAACTAGTGGGCCTGGCAATCTCAAACGGGCCTACATAAGAATGTAGCTGCACCGCCCAGTTATCAATCAGCAGAAGCACCCGACGCCTGTCTCTCTTCGCAGTGGACAAAATCTCGCCCTCTATCCAGTTGACAGTACAGTACTCTTCGTAATGCGTGGAGAACACATTTCTACTACCAGGTTATGGAGCCTGCTTCCCAACATGCCTTCGCAATCCCAAATGTGCATCGTCTGGGCCATCGGAAAAGTACATTTTCATGCCACGAGCCACTGGGATGTGACGCTAAGGGATGGAACTTCCCAAGTCCTGCCAGACTCGGCCTTACACCGCGTTTCATTGACGTGCTTACACTGTTAGTAGCAATATTCGGGATTTTCATTGGCATCCTGACAATATCGGCTTTTGTCCGCCGAAGAGCTCATGGAGAGGTAGTGACAAAAGGCTGGAAATACTGGGCAAGTTTGGTAAGTGGGTATCTTTGCGATCACCGGCATCCGTCATCGGTATCAATCCAGTCAATCGCCCCTGACATCTTTATCACATATATAGGCTTGCGTCGCTTGCGTCGTCACTGGCACTATTGTCCAAACTGCTGGTCTGATCGCCGGCAATCCACATGCTTGGTTCAGCGACCAGCGGGTATGGGCTTATACCCTTCTTGTTACGTTCCTTTTGGCAATGTTCGTCGTCCAGTATATGGGGCCAAATGGCGGGCAACACAGAGCTGCCAAAGGAGCAACTTTCTACTGGCCTATTCTCACCTTGCTTCTGGGGGCAAAATTGCAATCAACCATTTCGCACCGTATGAACGAGCATCATATGTATTCCATTGTCGCTTTATGTACAAGTTTTGGGTTCTCGTGCGTTGAATGTGTCCTTGTATGGTTTGTGCCGGATGGATACGCCGACATGGAGCAAATAAACAACACCGACGTCCGCCCACGGGCGACATTGTGGTCCACTCTGACTTTTGCGTGGATGACGCCCATGATGACATTTGGCTATGCGAATCGTCTCACCGAGAACGATCTCTGGGAGTTGGCCGAGGGTGAAAATACAAGGGCTGCGGCCAAACATTCCAAGACTCATGGAGTGTCGAGCTGGTCGGCAAAAAAGCCCCATCGATATGGAAGGCTCTAGTTATTCCGCGGTTTCGGACGAGCATGTGCAGGCAATACTCTTCAAGGTGGGGGCTGACATGTTTTCACTCATGCAGCCACAGCTATTGCGGTCCTTGATATCATTTGTCCAATCTCGAGGCAGTCTGGCAAATGAAGTGGCCCTTGCGCTGGCCATGTTTCTGGTCTCGGTCGTCCAGAGCCTCTGTCTCCATCGGTGCTTCCAGCGACTTTCTTACACTGGCGTCAAGGTGAAAGCGGCGCTTATTTCCACAGTCTATGTCAAATCGCTTAGGTTGTCGAATGGTGCGCGTGCTACCAAGTCCACAGGTGGCATTGTCAATCTGATGGCTGTAGATGCGCAGCGCCTTCAGGACTGCATTCAGTTTAGTCAGCATATTTGGTCCGCTCCGTTGCAAATACTTCTCTCCGTGGCATTTTTATATCAACTGATGGGGCCTAGCATGCTAGCTGGTCGTGCCTTGATACTCGTCATGATTCCTATTAAAAAGATCAGTCACATTCGTAATGACAAGGAGCTCGTAACGCTTTGCAGGGTTGGCAATTTTCAAGCACTGTCTGGATTCATCGGTGCGGTAGCCCCATTCCTCGTTGCGTGTGCGGCGTTCTCAGCATACGTCTTAGTCCATGCCAGTCCGCTGACAACGGATATTGTGTTCCCTGCCTTTGCATTATTCCATCTGTTGACGACCCCCCTGACTATCCTACCCGCGGCTATTTCGTCTGTTACCGAGGCAAGTGTTGCAGTAACTCGGCTAAGCGCCTTCATTACCGCTGATGAGGTCCAAGAGAACGCTGTTATTCACAGCGACGCGGTTACGCAAGCCGGTGCAGAATCGGTTGCTATACGCGAAGCAACCTTCACATGGGACAGACAGCAGACCAAACCGGCTATTGAAGAAGTCAACTTCACGGCTCGTGCGGGTGAGCTGTGCTGCATCGTTGGCCGCATTGGAAGGAGCAAGTCTGCGTTGATCCACGCTATTCTCGGCAGCCTTCACAAAGTGAAGGGTACAGTGACGGTCCATGGGTCGGTTGCCTATGTGGCACAAGACACATGGCTACTGAATGCCACGATACGAGACAACATAACCTTTGGCCATGGATGGGACCCTGGGTTCTACGAGAACACTGTGAAGGCGTGTGCATTAGTCAGTGACTTTGTCCAATTTCCAAACGGGGATCGAGGTATCATGTTGAGTGGCGGGCAGAAAGCACGTCTATCGCTGGCCAGGGGCAATATACTCTAGAGCAGATATATACCTGCTGGATGACCCTTTAGCGGCAGTGGACCAGCATGTCGCCAGACATCTGGTCGACAATGTACTTGGACGCCATGGCCTCCTTCAAGGAAGAACAAGAATTGTCGTCACGAATTCCGAGGCTGCCATGGCCGAGTCAGATGCAGTTGTCTTGCTTCAATCTGGTAGAATCGCAGAAAGAGGTACCGGCGCACAAACCATGGAGGCCATGGGAGATTTGAACGATATTGAAGGAAGGTTGGGGGTTTTAAACGACAAACTTAAACTCGATATCTCTTCCGATATGTCAAGCACCGGAAAATCACAGGTTATAAGCGACCTTCAGGGACTGACAACAATGCGCGAAGTGGCTGCCCAAGAGGCAGACCCGAGTACAGCTCACCGCGCAGACTTTGTCTGTCGCCGAGGTCTTCCAAGGAGACATATTGACGTGGAATCTGAGCCAATCATACGCGCAGAACGCTCGAAACAAGGACGTGTTGGATGGAAGGTGTATGCTGATTACGCAAAGTCGAACGGTCTTGTCTTTGTCTCTCTATATGCTGTTGCTCTCATCGGTTCTCAGGCGGCTGAAATTGGTATGTGTATTTTTGCATGTGTTATGTTGTTTCACTCTTAAGGGAAAGACCAAGCATAGTTGCTGTGTCAGGGCCACAGAGAGAAAGAGAGAGCCAAATGGGCACACTTATAAGCTAGATATCAGGGATATTCGGCTAAGAGCCGCTATTGCTGGATCTTTTTGCTCCATAGCTCGATGGTCAAACATGATAATCGTCGTGACACGCTGAGAGCTGTCGCTAATAACCTAACAGGAAGTAATATCTGGCTCAAACACTGGAGCGAGACGAACAACGATGTCGGGGAGAATCCGCTAGTTGCAAAGTTCATTGGTGTATATGTTGCATTTGGGCTTGGTTCAGCTGTCCTTGTTTTCATACAGAGTATGGTACTCTGGTTAGCCTGCTCCATCAAGGTACGACGCGCACCAATGGTGTTTGAAACGCTGATGTAGAAAACTGCCCAGGCTAACGAACAGACAGGCCTCACGCACCCTCCATGAGCGGATGGTTTTTGCAGTTTTTAGATCTCCCATGGGCTTCTTTGAGCAAACTCCAGCCGGTTAAATCCTGAATCGATTCTCGAGGTACGTGGAAAGCTTATCGTGGCCACCTAATACTAGACTCAGTAGAGCTGTGTATCCATTTTCTTGCGTCATTCGCAGCTCACGGCATATTTTGTAGTGACATATACCGTATCGACGAGTCCCTTGCCAGGCAGTTCAATGCGCTCTTTGTTAGTGCCGCGAGAGGTTTCTTTATTCTTGGCGTAATTGCCTTGGGAAGTCCACTCTTTGTGGTGTTTATCATCCCACTCGTGCTTTTCTATACATACATGCAGCGATATTACTTGGCAGCCAAACGAGAGCTCAAGCGTTTAGAAAGCACGAGCCGCAGTCCAGTTTTTGACCACTTTCAAGAGACCCTTGGGGGTGTTGCAACTATTTGTGCCTACGGAGCACAGGAGCGATTCATCCGAGAGAATGAGCGTCGAGTAGACGCAAACATGAAGGCCTATATTCCGTCGATAACGGCAAACCGGTGGTTAGGAGTTCGATTAGAATTTGTTGGATCTGTCGTAATTCTACTAGCAGCCGGATTTGCTGTTACAGGTGTTGCCTTCAGATCTGGTCAATCCGAAGGCATGGCCGGCTTGACAATATCATACGCTCTGTCAGTGCAGCTCCCCGCCGGGTCCATTCGATGCTCTGGAGTACACTGACAGTAAGCAGACAAATCACGCAGTGTCTTGGTTCGCTAGTCCGAGCCACCGGAGAGGTTGAGACGAATATCGTGTCAGTAGGACGTGTCCTCGAATTCGCTGGTTTACCCAGCGAGGCTCCAGATGTTCTTAAGAGCCACCGGCCGCCAAGTAGCTGGCCAACTCAAGAGGCCGTCAAATTTGTCAACTATAGCACTCGCTATAGGCCAGATTTGGAGCCAGTCCTCAGAAACATTAAGCTTGACATAAGAGCCAAGGAAAAGATTGGCATTATCGGCCGCACTGGGGCTGGCAAAAGCTCGTCAGTGCTGTCGCTCTTTCGAATCATCAAACCGGCCTTTGGGAGCATCTATATCGATGATCTCAATGCATCGAGCGTAGGGCTTTTGGACCTTCGACGGCGACTGTCAATTATTCCACAGGATTCCGCCTTGTTTGAAGGGACAATTCGAGATAACCTGGACCCAGACAAGGCCCATGACGATACTGAGCTTTGGGCCGCTCTTGGTACGCGCGGAACCCGCTGCTGGGTCATTTGGCGACCTGGACTAATGTACCAAATTTGTAGAGCTTGCTCAATTAAAGGAACACGTTGCCGGCGCATGTGGTGGACTAGACGCGAAAGTATACGAAGGGGGTAAGATGACAGGAATATTCACCTCTTTCACGTAATACTCACACTTGACACTACAGGTTCAAATCTTAGCAAATAGCCCGCGCACTGCTGAAGCCCTCGACTATTCTAGTGCTAGACGAAGCAACCGTGAGTATCCGTTTTGGCAACTGTCGAAACTTCTTTTTATGCATACATCATGCTGTAAACTCCAAAGCTAATTGACTGTAGGCTGCGGTGGACGTTGAGACGGATATGATTATCCAGAAGACTCTTCGGGACAATCTATCCGGCCATCGCACCACCATTACAGTTGCGCACCGTATTCATACTGTCATCGACTCTGACCGCGCTGTGGTGCTCAATAACGGCGAGATTATTGAGGCTGATACGCCGGCTGCTTTGATAGAGCAAAAGGGGGCCTTCTACCAGCTTGCAAGAGAGGCGGGCGTAGCAGAGTAGTAAGCAACATTTCAGGCCTCGGGCTCGAGTGCACAGATTATGTGAAGGTCAACCCCCGAGATTCTGTAAACTTAATTCCAAGAGGGTGTGTGTCTGTTCTCCCGCGAAGTGCCCAGTAGTATTACGGATTGTGCCGCCATTATTCCCTCAGAAAGTGTGCAGGAACCGACGCCGCTGTTAGGGTTGGAAACCGTAAGAATCGAATCAAGGTCATGGTTAATCCAAGAAATGGCCACCAGGGACATGCAGCCGACTTCCATCTGTCGGGCCTTCTAGAAGGTCTGCAGTAGCTTAAACCCTAATCATATTGACTAGTTGCCGAAGAGTATTTTGAGACTAACTGCCTAGTAATTAGAGTCCTAGTGACGACCCTTTCTATTTCTTTTCAACAGGAGCAAGGCTTCTGAAAGCTGTAGCGCAACGGCGCTTGACGACGCACAACACAGGCGAAATTCCGCCTTCTCCGATCAAGGAATTGGGAAGTAGATAATACATACACTGGGCGGAAATCTCTAAAAGTCTCTTTTGGGATGCGGGGTACCTCGGAGGGGGGTCGTGCTATTCGTGCTACCAACCCTAGCTATTCGTGCTACTACCGCTCGATTTGGCCTAGTGGTCAACTGCCCACACCCCACCATACATTTTCACATACACCCACATGGTCGCGCTCGCTTTTTAAAAATTCAATCGGTAGTATTTAAATATATCATATTTTTCAATAACACGAGCTCGGGCGAGCACCGGCAGGGCACCGGCAGGGCACAAATCGCTCAAAAACGCGATTTCCGGTGTTTTTAATGAATGTGTACACATTCACGGGCCGTTAATTATTCCGCTGCCGCCGTGGGCGCTGCCCGGGCTCCCAAGGGGTCATCCATCAAAGCTGCGGCTCTTCCGGCTGTGTTTAAGGGATAATTTCCTCAATTTCCGGCGACCCTGATACTGCTGCTTGCTCCGTGGCTTGTCTACCTGTTGATCGAGTTTGTGTGCGATTTACAGCGTTTCCTAACCGCGCCTGCAACCGTCGGAGGGTATGATGAATAAACACACAGATTGGGGGTGGATTGCACTTACCCTGGAGGGTGCCAGGTGGTCACGAAAGGCCACCCGTGCGTTGCAAGCTAGAGAGGGGGAACTTGGACCTTTAGTCAACTTTTTCCTACACTGCCCAAATTTCTTACCACTCGACATCCAGCATAGCGCCGAGAGAAGTGCCTATGACATGAAAAGGCGGTGGCTGTGCTGTTGAGATGTGTTTCGTCGATGGAAGTTACACCTAAGCGCCGAAAAAAAAAGGAAATAAAGCCGCCTCATGCATAACTACAAAACCAAGTTCTCCCATGATCAACAATAGCCCACGTAAGTGGCGCTTAAGCCATCTACAATGCAGATCCAAGGTTAGAATGTGGGGTAAACAAAGACAAAACAAGACCAAAAAATACGTCCAGTGAACCAGAAGATCCATACATCGTGTCACTATCGTTGCGTTGTTCGCGGATTTTCTAGTAATGGTACCAGGAGCACAAGCAGCAAAGGTCATTGGTTGAGTTTCTGGGATTGTTGGTCGTCAAAAGTGCTCACAGCTTCCGAATCACGTGGCTTTCTTCTCTTTTATTCATTTCCTTTGAACAGCCAGAGGAGAGAAGTGTGTTGCAAACATCTGCCCCTACCGCCCCCCCCTCCCCTCTAAAGGGTCGTTGTGCAACACACTGGTAGCAAACAAGCAGCTGGGGCGCAGGTACGGTTTGCCATGCGTTCAACAGCCCTTCGCGTCTGAAGTGTATCAAGCCATTCTCCAAGGCTCACTCGGTATGGGGGGTCTCAGACACTGCTACACATAACAGGCTATGAAGGTTTTGCCCTCGGTCTGTCAAGATAGCCCCGCGACGCTAATCAGGGCTGTCTGCGGTACGCGGAAAATAGAGTGTTCAGAGAGCAAAGCGGCCTTGTTGGCAAGGCAAAGCAGGGTGCTTCACATGGCGTGGAAACCAACATGACACATTTGGTCCCCGGCTTCGCGTGTTGGCGTGGTATCCGGATGTCACACTTTAGAGGGCACTAATTGT